TTTTTTTTTTTGCTCTCAAGTGAAGATCTCATTCCTCCCTCTAGTTTTCCTCAAATGGGTGGACTCAGTTCATATTTGGCAAGAACTCCCTGGGCTCTGCCCTCGGTGAAGACATCTTGTTGAGCCGGATCCCCTCTGTCCTCTCAAACCCACACATGAATGGGGAGCGGGGAAGAGAGGGTCCAGCTGCTCAGGTTGGAGAAGGAGCCAGAACCGGGGCTTGGGAGCTCGGACAAGCTCCAGCACGTACCGACACCGTTCGGCGAATCCTGGCCTGCCACGGACCCAATCTGGGCTTTTGTGCAGGGCTGTGTTTCTCGTTCTCTTTCTTCCTGGGAAGGCCTTTGTACGTCTTAAAGCGAAGACACCCCAGCTTGTCCCCGGGACTTGCAGCACCCAGAAAGCTGGATGCCTAAACGTTTGTCACTCCCAAGCTGGGCTGTCCGTTGTCATTGCTCTGTTCAGGGACCTCTGGAAATAAGAGTCTGTTCTGTCTGAGATAAAACCAGCCTGTCATGTTCAAGGGACTGGAATAAAGTGCTTACAACCTCAAGGACGACAGTGGTCTGCTGGTTCCTACCTTCCTTGGGGGCGGGGGCGGGGCGCCGAGAGCACTGTCCCGATGGTGTGCCTCAGGAGAGAGGTTTCCACACAGGGAATAGAAGGACAGATGGATAGACAGACAGATAGAATGATAAAGATAGCGCTCACGTGGAGGAGGCCCTCTATCCGTTCATTCTGGGTCACACGCTTGTGTGGCATTCAAACGTGTGTACTGTTTAATAGGGTGTTCTGGAACATGAGATCTTCATGCCAATGCTGTGGCTTCAGCCGAGTCTGCACCTGACTGGGGCTCCAGGTCCTGACAAAGCTTTCCTCCTGGGTGTAGTGCTTGCCCTCCAGGGACACAGAACTAGGTCCTGGGAACAGAGGGTTGGCGGTGATGGCCAACGAGACACCCGTCCAGACCTTCCTCGCACCTGCTGCAGGAAGCACAGCGGGGGGACAGGTTGTCACCACCTCTGGCTCCACTCGGATGTTGACTCCGGGGCCCTGCTTTCCTGAAGCTCCCAGTCATTGCCTGGCACAGCAGGGAGGGCAGGGGAATCGGGCCATTCTTGTCCTAAGTGGGACCCTTCTAGCGGGTGGCCTTTGCCTGGGGATTTCCCACGGGCCTGGCTGAAATGTTCTTATAACTGTGCTGTGGTCTGAGGCTCCCCCCAACCCCCCAAATCCTTTTTCCTTCCTTCTTGCCTTCCACAGGTACTTTGGAGAAACAAATCCACAGCAACTCATATATGAGAGAGTTTTATGTAAAGAAAATGTGCATCACAAAAACATCCCAACCCAATGCTGCCCAAGCCCACAAGTCCAACATTAACCCATTTACCCAACACCAGTCCACAAAGTCCTCCACCTCACAAAACAGAGGCAATGATGCCGACTGCAGGAGGAAAGCTGAGTCAGTGAACGAACAAGCATCTCAGCACTAGCAGGGGTCTCCACACGGCTGCTCCAGCACCCAGGGCTGCATCGGGATAGGTCCATGTAGCTTCTCCTTGGGGATGTCTTGTAGGAAGTCAATCTTGCAAGCTGAAGCAGAGAACTGCTAAAGCAGCTGCACCTGGTGCAACCATCACAAAACAAGAGACCCGAGAACTAGAAAGGCAAGGCTCACCACCCATTTATCCCTCCGCCTTTCAATTAGCCCCACGTGATTATCGGCCAGGTTGGCACAATTAACTAACTCAACATGTGTCAGACCATCCTCCCAGGCTGCAGGCTGACCGGGTCTGCTCCTTCTCGCTCCTCTTTTATGGTTTGTTCTCAAGCATTTCTCCCAGTGTGTCCTGAAAAGACACCATGAGCTTGGGGATGCAGGTACCTGAAGTGACGTCGTGGTTCTGGTTGACACCCTCAAATCACAGAGCTCAGGCATCCAAGCGGGCAGCCTTCCCAGGGAGAGGCTCAGACTTGGGCATCTCTCGTTAAGCGTGGATGCGTAAGGATTGGGAGGTCTTCTTCTGTTGTCTGTCTGTTTCTAGGATCCGGGTGCCAGCAGCCCCTGACTCTTCCAGGGAAGAGCGCGATCACCGTGCAGACCGACCATACCAGAGCCCCATCCCTTGGCAGGTGCATCTCTTTTGCACCTTCCTTTCCCCCAGCCTCTCTCTCAACGATGCCTGGGTCATGGATACCGAACTGAATCAATTCATCAGGACCGTGTGACCCTGATCATGGGGCACCCTTAAGAGGAAGTGGGTGGGTGGCACACAGGCAGGGCAGAGTCTATGAGAAAATAGGATGGTGGCTGCCTGAGGCCAGGGAAAGGGCCACCTCAAAGGAGACCAACTGCTAGACTCAAGTGTGTGGACAGTACACCCTATGGAGGCTGTAGGACACGGATCAGGAACACCCCAGGAGGATCCCTCAATAAGAACTTTACCCAGCCGCCTCTTCCCCACCCATTGGGTCAAGCCTAAAGGCAGCTTGGGGTAACACCAGCTGGATCATCAGCCAGAGCTTCTTGAAAGCAAATTTCCAGCCAAGACTTGAAAAGGGTGGGCATAGAGAGAAATTAAGACGAGGAAAGATGTAGCAGAGTTACTTGTTTCCAACCGCATGTTGGAGGAGACGCGTGGCTGCTGGTTTAAGGGAATGTGAACATTGGGTGGCCACTGATGAAACACCACTATGCACCAGCAAATCATGGTGCTTGGGTATGAGCCAGCAGAGAACGGGGTGCCTGGGCGTCCCTGGGTAGGGGATGGCCACCAGGAAATGGGGAGTTTGGGACAGGTAGTACTAGCCTGTAGGTAGAGGTGGATGAAGGCACCAGAAAGGCCTTGTGACTCTCATGGGGTGGGAGTGAGGACGGGTCATGTGGAGAGACCGATCCCGTGGGTCGCTGCAGGCCTCTTTTTGAGCTTGTCATTTAGGAATCCTGCCAAAGCAAGCTCAGGCCATGAGTCAACACAGGCTCATAGCAACCCGAGGTGATGCAAAAGGGGAATGTGCTCAGCTGGCAGCCAATAGGTTGGAACCTCAAGTCTACCCAGCTGTGTCTTGGGAGAAAGAGTTGCTGGCCCATTTCCTCAAATCCCTAGGGATTGCAGTTCTACTCACACACCTGGCCCCACCATCAGGTGAAGCTGGCTCCATAGGAAACTGCTCTTGCTTCTCACGTGACTTTGGGGCCTGGCAGTAAGCAGCAGCCCAGGGCTCCAGGGCCACCCCATCTCCCACCACAGGGGCTTCTCCCCAGGCAGGCCCTACGGCCAAGATCCCCACACCCACCTTGCAGAAAGCAACCAGGCACTGTTGTTTACTCTGATGGTAGGAATATTTATTTTTCTTCTTAAAAATGTACAAAAAATAAAATAGCTATTTATAGATTCCCCCTCTCCCATTTACAAAACTATTAAGTTACATTCCTCTTTTTGTTTGAACGTGAGAGCAAATGGTAAGTGTATTGATCGCCCTTGCTTAGATGGTAAGAAAGGGCCGTTGTAGAATTTGGCACAAACCCACTATCTCTCTGACATTTTCCATGATTTCAAATTTAAAAAAGGAGGAGGAAACTAAACATTTGATCATTTCATGCTTCCTAAGTCTCTGGTCCGGGACGTGTCCTTGTCAATCGGGAACAAATTCCAAGGTGATCGCGTTATTCAGTGAGGCCCAATTTCCAAACGCTCGGCAAGTCAAACCTGTGTGGGACATAGAGGGAAGGGGCTGGCTTCCCAAGTCCCCCATTGCCCATGGATTAAAAAAAAAAAAAAGCTTATTTGTTGAGTGTGATTAATTTAAGGGACAATAAAAACAGGGTGGGGGGCTGAGGGGGCAGGTTTTCCTATCTTTCTGGAGTGTTTTTGCCTGGGGAGTTTTGCCTGGCAGGATTCATTGAAGCTCTGCTAATGTACACTTTAAAGGTAAGCCTCGGATTCTCCAAGTGGACAGTCCAACGGGGGGCGAACACTCAGCATCTGCCCAAGGCGGCCACAGGTACGTTGTTCTGATTACGGTCCTGATTGCCCAGGGGCTATGGGCAAATGCAAAAGCATCTCTGATTTGCCCTGCCTTAGGGCAGGCCCAGCAAATGGTTCTCAAAGAAGCTGGAGCGGCCAGGTAGCCTGCACCAGGCTTCTCAAGGTAGCCCCTCTGTGGCTGCCTGACCTGGAGTCCTATGCTTCAGCCCGATCACACTGGCCATTCACTCTACCAACCACGTTAGAATGTGTGTGTGCTTAGCCCAAGCGTGAGTAGTGCATAGTACATCGCGTATTTCCAACACTGACTGGTCCATCTCGGAGCACACGCCTACCCTTCCACAGGGTGGTGACCACGCTGCTAGTCCAGGGCAGGAGGCAGAGTTGGCGTAGAGTGGGACCCAGGAAGCAAATCCTTGGCACCACAGGAGGGGTGACATGCCCAGTGGACACACAGAAAGGTGGCTCCTGGCCCCCACCCAGAGACCTTCTTGGACTCAGCCCCTGCTCCCAGTCCGTGAGATTCCCCTGCGGCATCTGGGAGAAAGCGCTGGGCTGGCAGCCGTCCCTCGGTGCTGCTGGAGGCCCCAGCACAGATGAAGTCGAGGGGCAGGGAGACCAGAGAGGGGCCTTCAGGTAAGATGTCAAAGTGCTTTGCAAACGATCTAGGCCTGGAACCTGCCCTAGGTCGGGACCTTGGGTGGACGGTGGGTGGGAGGTTTTCCCAGGCTACCCAAAAGCGAGTGCTTCCATCTTCAGGGGGTGCATGCAAGCCCCTTGGCTACCTGTCTGTCCTCTCTAGGAGAACAGGGGCCTGCCATGATTGACGGGTGCGTGCGTGTCTAGGAGGCATTTCTTCTCTTCACTGGCTCTCCCAGGCCCATCCTGTGTCAGCTGGCAGAAGCATAGGGGTTCCCAAGGCATGCTCACCCACAGGCTCCGCTACTTCCTCAGCTGTCACCCAGGAGCAGAGAAGCCTCCTTTTCCAGGGGCTCCAGCAGGGGAAGCCCAAGAGGATGCCGAGGTCTGCTGGTTGCAGCCGGGCTGTTGGCACTGCCCTGAGAACTGCAGTGGGGCTGAAGCAGCCACGTGAGATGAAGGATGTGCTTGTAAATTGTGCAGCACTGCATAACGTCCAGGTTCCTAGCATCGCCAGGCAGTTTTGCAGCCAGCCAGCTTCAGCAGCTGGGACCTTGTGACAAAGCCTCCGCAGAGTCCTCTCCACAAAGCTCAGGCAGAGCCTAGCCCCAGACCTGGAGAAGGTGCTAGAATATCAGGCAATAGGAGCTATCTCGGAGGCAGCTCGAAGGATGAGTCCAGAAAAGTGCATCCCCGAGAGATGAGTGTGGTGGCCTTGTGGGAAAGCCGTGGACCCGGGGAAGAGAGGGTGTTTCCTCCAGGGACAGGGAATGTGTCCCCAGGGCGGGGCCACTTGAGAGTTCATCTTGGCACCCTCTACAGTGCCCTGATGCCCGAAGGTCACTTCCCCAGCCCGAAGGATACTGCGTGAACAGGCGCACAGGCAGAAAGCCAGGTCTCCCGGTATGTGCCTCCGTAGGCCAGTGGCAGTAAACATGCCCACGTACCATAGGTAAAATATATTATTGCAATATTATAAACATTATGTACAGAGTCAGGTGTCCTTCCTTTGTCACCTACTAATTACATTGTAGCGGAATGCCTTCCTGTACAAGTCCCTGTGGCCACTTGCTTCCAACTCCTCCGGGGAAATATTGAGCAAGATGACCTCTCCCTCCCAGAGCAACCTGAAGGTGTTTGACTAGTAAGTGGGGCAGCCACCTCTTAGTGCACCCGTGACATCTGCACAAGGAAGCAGCTTGTTTGGTCCAGCTATTCAGGGCACGTGGGAGAAAGGCGTAGGGAGTGCTTCCAGATGAACCCAGTGGCTATGTTTCCTTTGAAGAGGAAGGCTCCGATGGCCTCTTCCAGAGCCAGCTGTGTGACCTGCAGGGTCCTGGACACCCACCTGCACCCCACCCCCAGGCTCAGAAAAAAGGTGGGCAATAAATAAGGATTTGTCAAGGTCCAAAGCAGGGCCCGAGGGGCTCGGCCAGGCTTCAGCTCCACTGAATGTGCCCGAGCAGATGGGACAAATACACTGACAGCGAGTGAGACGTCGGTCCGTGCCCGCTCTTTGCCCAGCACAGTCTTGTAACAGCGATTGTGAGACGGGTGAGTTGGGGCTGTGGATCTGGGGTGGGGGCCTCTGTCGGTCCTGGGGTGAAGGTGCTGCGGGGAGCGGGGCTCAGATTTCCATGAGCGTGATCTTGAAGCCCTCCACCATGCTCTCCATGTTGAGGATGAACGTGTCCTCATTCGAGTAGTGCTCGATGATGTTGTCGTCCATGTTCACCAGGATGCTGGTGGCAAAAGACAGAGACCGTCAGCAGCGGCGTGGGAGGTGCAGGGGCCGTTCCTGGGCAGGGGCCTCCAAAACCAAGCCTTTCCAAAAGAAGCCGGGAAAAGGAACCGGGAAAAGAAGCCAAAAGGGAAAAAAGGGGGACTCCCTACCCCTGACCATTACCACCATCACCACTCTCTTTTCCTTCTGCAGAAAGCAGCTTCAGGTCAGCAGAGAGGTTTACAGCAGAACTGACCTCCCACTGGTAACTTCTCCTAGGACTTCACAGCCACCCAAGCCTCTTACTCAGTAGATTGGTTAACCAGGACCCAGAACAGTTGGCAGAACACAACATCACAAAGTTCAGTCATACCAGAGTGGGACCTGAACACGTAGGTCCCAGAGCCATTTTTTATTGAAGATACATTTGAAAGAGGGCTCTGCTCTTAAGAAAGGACATTGTCGTCATTGGCGCTACTGTGGAGCCTAGAACTAGTCTTTGAGCCTCAAGCCAACCCCAGGGGTGCCACAGCTACTACTAGCAAGTGAGGAAAAACCGGAGTCAGTGAGGTTAAGTCACGTAGTATGGGTTCAGTCGTGTGGTGCACGGCCGAGCTTGGCTGGGAAATCACCTTCACCTTTCTCCCAAGCTCATACCTGTATCACGGGCTGCCTACTCGCTAGGAGTCCTTGGGAGGCATAAGCAGTGATGGACGCAGCCACTCACCAAGAAGGCCTCAGAAGAAAGGCCTGGCGATCTACCTCCGAGACATCCGCCTTGAGAACCCTGTGGAGCTTACTCCTACTCTGACACCCGTGGGGCGGCCGTGAGTCTAGAGTTGACTTGGTGACGCCTGGTCTACCTGCTCCTTGGCTGACTGGAGCCACTGCTCTCAGAACCGCATCAGCAGGGGTTGAGGTGGGTCTCATTTTAAGAAAACCAGCATCTTCCCCCTCTGCCCAGGATTTAAAACCCCTGGAGCCACTCTCGTTCCTAGAAGTCTAGGCGTAACTTCTTACGAGAAGAATAGGACTCTCCCCTCCGTCCATAGCTTTGCGGTTAGCTTTCTAGCACCTCCGTCTATTCTTTTGTAAAAATGTACGAATTACAACCCTTTCTAGGGCCATGGTGAGGATCAATGCATATAGCAGAGGGCTTGGCCCGGGCAGGGTGCCATGCAAGTGAAATGTCACCCTGAAGGGCACGTACATGTCCCCCGGGGGCTTCTCATCAGTAGTTAAGACCCTCAGTAGTTCAAGATCCCAAGACACTGCTTGGGTCTCACCATCAAGAAATTCACCCCTCCGGTGGTGTTATCCTAAGGCAGAAATTGTAAGAAGCAATTTAGTGGGCCTTACCACAAGGCTTTTCATTCCCAGTTAACCTTGACCCTGAGCAGGCCAGGCATTTCCTTTAGACGCATTGTCTGCTTTTTGTAGGAGAACAGCTCCAGGTGCTGACTCAACAGAGTCCCTCTCCTGGCACTACCTCCAGGTCTTGCGGCCAGTACTCTCCGACCCTCATCAGCTGGAGTCCCCACAGGGGACCAGCAGTGGGTACGGACTCAAACTTTGCGGCCAGAGCCTAGACCATAGGCCACATCTCTCGAAAGAGCGAAAACCTGTTCTTTGACTTACTGACCACTGAAGCCCCAGGGCAGGACGCTTAACCTCCCCCTGGCTCAGTTTCCCCATCAGTGAGCCAGAGAGGGTGAGAGACACTGCCTCCCAGACTGGTAAGGAATATGGGGGGGAAGGCACAGAAAGCACTCAGCGGGGGCCCAGGCCCCACGAATCCTCAGTCGATGAGAGAGACTGCTCTTCACAGTGAGAAGGAGGGAGCCCACCGGGAGTCTGGGACCAACTGGAAGAACCCCTTTGGCCCTGTACCCATTTTTGCCCCTACTGGGTCACCACTTTATAACACACCTTGAAGACAGCATGGGATTCGCTATAAATGTCACTCTCTGCCAACGGGGTGACTGGCCTTGTGCCCTCTGTCTCACCCTGTCACTGGAAAGGGGCATCGCAGCTGATCTCACCGTACACACGGCCTTCTCTCCTTCGCGGAAGCGCTTCAAGGCACTGCGCTTGCCCGCGGCCCTGTCATCATTTGGAAGCGCAGTTTTTACTCAAGGTGAACATCGAGGTTAGAGTTTTCCGGCACCCTCGCCTTATCGGGTGTGGAAGTCAGTGTAAGGACGGTTTCGCTCTTACCCCTTTTTGCTCTTCTTGTAAAGTTTTGTGATCTTCTCCACCGGCAGCCCGTACTTCTCAGATATCTGGAACAACAACGGCAGAAAGGCTTGGTGAGCGCGGAAGAGGCGCGCGCGCATGCGCGCGCAAGGCCACGAGACCCCGTGCCAATTTCAGCCTCGTGGCGTCCTCAAAGTCAGCTTCTCAAACACCTCCTCTGTGAGCCTCCCTCTCCCTCTCTCTCACTTGACACACCTTGAAGTCAACAGAAGAGTCAATCGCACGAGAATTCAATCTATGCTAAAGGTGGCATTTAAACCCAATCCACTAAAAGCCAGACTTCTCATGTTCTCGTGGCATTAGATAGGCAGCCATGTAGAAAACACGCTTTAACATGAAACTGGGCCCCACTTCCCGCACCCAAGTACATTTCAAATGGATGGAAGATGGACATGGGAGAGATGAAACATAGAGATGCCAGAAGCATCCATGAGTCGATTGCTCTTGCCTATGTCAGCACGGTAAAGTCGGGACGAGTTTTTCTAAGATGTAAAACCTGAAGAACAAGGTAAGAGGGCTGACAGAACCAACCCCCGCATTCAAAATATCCATAGAGCAAAACTGAGCGTCAGGAGACAAGGTCAAAGGACACACTGGAAACATTGTTGAAACCCAACAGACAGACCTGAGCTAACTTCCCCCACTTAGGGAAGACCCCAGCAAGAGGAATAAGAAAGGGGCTCACAGCTCCACGGAGAAAATGGAGACAGCATCGTGGGGAGGCAGTTGACAGGAAAGGAACATTGCAATTGGCCGATCAGTGTATGGAAAATAAATCCACCACTTCATTTTAAAACAGTGAGGTCAAGCACGAGGGAAGTTACAAGGCAGACCGGGCTGACCGAAAGGCAAAGACACAGCAGGAGTGTGAGAAATAGCCGCTCTTGTCCAGAGATGGGCACTAGCAAGCCCAACCATTGAGAAGGGAAACTTGACAGACGTGATGGAAATTTACAATGCAGAGATGCTTTGACCCGGATATTCCACATCTACGGTCTATAAAAACAGACCCTAATGTATGCACGGCGTCTCAAAGCCCCCAGGCCTGAATCAGAGAAAAACTGGCTACAGCAAACATTCATCACTCGTGCTCTAATATTTTCCATTGAAAACCAGGAAGGCATTCAAAGAAACGTAGGAAATCCATACGAATGAACATGAAAAAGACGGCAATGCCATATGCAGTCAAAAACAGCAATGTGTATGTGTGATCTTGTTTGTATTTTTTTAAATGTACGTAAGTAATGATACAGAAAGCAATTGAAGGGCCACCTATCTACTAGCACTGGCACCCCTGGGGAGTGGACGGAGACCAAGAGCTCCATTGACTTTTCACTGTGTACAGGCCTCCTGGTCTAGTGGGCTATTGCAAGGTCAGCAGTTCAAAAGCACTAGCTGCTCCGTGGGAGAAAGATGAGGCTTTTGACTCCCATAACGAGTGACCATCCCAGAAACCCACGGGGGCCGTTCTACCTTATCTTCTAGGGTCCCTGTGAATGAGAATCTTCTGGGTGGCAGTGAGTTTTTTAGCTGAGTGCTGCTTATTTTATGTTGACAGTGACCGTACCTCCTTTCTATAAGCACAAAGCAGTAAGAGTGTGAGAGATGGATTTAGAAAAGACCTGTCCGAGATGCCTGCCAGTTTGTCACCCTGAGGTGGCTCGTAAGCTAGGGTGCTAGAAGCTATGCAACTTGTATTCCAAATTCCAGCAGGGCCACCCATGGCTGAATGATTTCAGAGACGCTTCTTTTCCACCAGGAATCAGCAAACGTTTGAGACGGAAGAGCCAATCCTGTCCCTCACAACCATTTAAAAATGGTTTGAGCATCATACGTATATTTTTACAAACAAATGAAGTCATCATTAGCTGAATAATAGTCTTTGCAATGTTCCCATTTGCTTTAGAGCCTCATGTATGTGCTGAAAGAGCTGCGGGTTGCCTACCTCTGTTCCAGACGGAGACAGAATCGCCCTTGTTCTGTTCAACAGCAACACGTCCTAAGCTACTAGTTCTCCATCTTATAGACGGGAGATGAATCCAATGCTTGGGACGTCTCTCTGCAGGGAGGATGTTTGCTTGGATCTTCATTGCTAGCTTAGCTTCCCAAGGCCTGAATGAACGAGCACCCCTCAGCTCACCAGTTCCCCAGAGTCCGGCAGAAAGCCCGCACCATTCAGTTTCCACTGGGGTCTGCTGGGAGTAGCAGCAGCCGTCACAGTAGGCAACCTTCACCGAGTGCTTACTGTGTGCTAGGCACAGTGCTGAGAGCTCTTTGTTTCTTAAGGCCCTCAATCCTCCCAACATCGTCGTGGGCTCGGTACTATGAGAAGCCCAGTGCACAGATGAGGAAACCGAGGCTCACAGTTGTTAAGTAACCTCTCCCAGGGTCCCTCGGCTAGTCAATGGCCGAGCCAGGGTTCAAAGTGAGAAGGTGACACTCTGGCTCCAGACTCTGAGCATTCATAGAACATCGATCAATCTATGTTGCCCCTGTTCAGAGAGAGGCTCCACGACCCCCTGCCCCCAGTTCAGAGGAACAACTGGTAGAGTTGAAACAGGGGACCTGGGCTGGTGAGGCCACCAGAGTCCCCAGGGCAGTGTGACCGCCAAAGGCCTGACGTGGTGCACTGAGATGTCATGTCTGCCTCCGTGTGAGGCTGAGAGGTACACCTTCCAAACGCAGGACCCTGGAAAGAGTTTGGGGGTTCTGGGCAGGGCACTATGTGGATAACACTGACCGGCTGGCACAGCTCACAGAAGGCTTCCTTCTGCCAGGGAGTGGGCCTTGGCACCCCCGTGTCCCTCCCCTCTGTGCAGGGAGCACTCATGCCCTCAGCAGGGGAGGTGCACACTAGAAATGCTTGTTAACCCTTCATGCACTTCCAAGTTTTCCAAACTGAGCACCTCTTTCTATAACTTAAAAACAAACAAAACCAAAACCAAAAAAACATTATTCATAGTTTAAAAGACTTCAGAACTTCCAAGAGGATCCCAGGCCAGGGCCACATCCCATCACTGAGCTGTCACTTGAGGACCTGTAAACCTAGACGTTGACATGGTGGGCCCTTCTCTCCCACCTAGCCTCCATCTCAGCACGGAGCCCGCAGAACCCAGGTTCCCACTGAATGTGACCAAGGTGAGGAGGGCGCAGCCTGTCTTTTCCGGAGGCACAGTGACTTCCCCGTGAGGCCTGTCAGGGCTCTTCAGGGTGGGCTCTGAGATATAAAAACAAACTCAAACTCCCTGGCTCATATCGATTCTGACTCATCTCGACCCTATATAAAAGGGCTGGAGGAAACTGCCGCTGTGGGCTTCCAGATCTTAACATCTTCCTCCCACGAAGCCACTGTCGGTTCCAAGCTACTGGCCTTGTGGTGAGCAGCCCAAAATCTAACCAACTATGGCACCAGACCCCAAGCCAGACTCACCGCCCTCAAGTCGAGGCCAACTCACAGAGATCCAACAGGATGGGGCAGAATTGCCCCGGGGCGTTTCTGAGACTGTCACTCTCTGCAGGAGTAGAAAGCCCCATCTTTCTCCTGCAGAGTGGCTGGTGGTTTCGAACCGCAGACCTTGTGTTTGGCAGCCCCACACATACCCACTCTGTCACCAAGGCTCCTCACTATGCCAACAGAGGTCCCTATGTAAAAGCCAGAGGCTCTACTTTGGACTGTTTCCTAGGTAACGGGATTCAAATAGGTGGCCTACGGGAGAAGAGGTTTGCTTCAACAGATTTCACTTCCACACACACCTGGAAGCCTGGTTGTGTCCCTTACTATAATAAACCCGCATCGTCTGCAACACAAAAGCCAAAAGGCAAACCCACTGCCAGGGAGTTCATTCTAATGTATAACGGCCCTAAAAAGCAAGGGCGGTGTGGTGTGGGCAGACTTAGAAGTCACCTGCACAGTGGGATCACAGGAGAGTGCCAGGTGGGGGGGCAAAGGGGCTAGCACAGTGACTTCCCCTCAGCCCTGGGAGACTACAAGGGGCAGGGGAAGGGAGGAGAGAACTTGAGAGCCTGTCCTCAAACTGCTCCATATCTCCAACGAGGATGCTTTGTCTTAACCAAAGAGGTCGTGTTTTCCTTTTGGCTGACACTCTCAGAGTAGCGAGGGGCTCGTGTGTCCTGGCCAGACGTGGACAGGAGCAGATGGGACTTGGTTCCGGGCAGAGGCAGGTGCAAACCCACAGGGTAACTAACCCCGAGGCACAGCGTTCACTGAGTCCCTGACCCTGTCAACAGACAGGGACTTGGCGATGTTTCAAAGTCCTCTTCGCCTTAAGATGCGAATAAGCCACGACAGGACAGAAGCCAGGGTCTCCACAAATCTCAGCTCTTTCTCTCTAAGCTTTTTCGGGCAGGCTCAATGGCTGCTTTTTTAAAATGTCCCGTCCAGCTCCGGGGGGAAGCCCGGCAGACAGGGTCTGGAGGTGGCTCTCTTACCGCTTCCATCAGGCCTTTCACGGTGGGAGATTTCAACATCAGCGCGTCAAACACGTCGTCAGTCTCCTTCCTCACGTACAGAAGCACTAGAAGAGAAAGAAGAGGGGGCGCTGTCTAACAGAAGGAGCCCACGCGGTTCCTGTCACACCGGTGTTGGAGGCTGGCACCGCCTTGGGGGCTCCAACTCTGGCTCCGACCACATCCTGCCAGGGGTGCCTGCCGTACAACCCGTGGCGAGGCACCAGGGAGGGGGTGAATGGGAGGGAGGAGCGGAGCATCGTGGGACACCGATTAAGCTCCAAGACACTTGGATGCATGGGGTCCACATTTGAATTTCTCAAGGCAGGAACACGAGCAATTTATGCTATCTCTTCCTGTGGCTTCTTCCTCTTATTTAATCATCTGTTCCTTCAACAAATATAATGGATGCCGCCAAGGCCTCTATGTACCTGGCTGCCTGTGCCAACAGCTGGGGGTGCCACCAGTGAACGAAGAACAGGCCCTACCCTTAAGGAGCTCCCAGCTCCCCTCTGGAAGCACCAGCATTCCCCAACAAGCCAGCAGAGCCACCGTCACAAGCGCTACGGAGGACAGGACCCCAGGAAGGAGCGTGGGGCAGCCGGAAGTTGTTGGGAGCTGCATGAAGACCACCGTGAAAGGGGCGCAGGCGACAATGCAAGCGAGGGACAGGGGGTGCAACAGAGGTGTGGGGAGGGGGAGAAAAGTCCAGGCGGGTGAGCCAGCCTGTGCAGGACCAAGAGGCAGGTGGGGGATTTGAAATACCACAGGTCTGGGTTTAACTCCATTTTGGCGATGGCTGTGGGGCCCGGGCCACCTCAGTGAACCTCTCCAACCCTGGCTTTCTTGGTAAACCGGGCCACCTCAGTGAACCTCTCCAACCCTGGCTTTCTTGGTAAACCAGGCCACCTCAGTGAACCTCTCCAACCCTGGCTTTCTTGGTAAACCGGGGGTCGTAATGTCTCCCTCGTGGGGTGGCTGTGAGCGGGAAAGGAA